AAAATGTCCTCATGCCCTCTCTATTTTAATGAAAAGGGGGGAATCGCCTGCTAGCTCAAGATCTCAATTGCCTATCCTATGTTCGTCATTCGTTAAACAACTATTTTGTTGGGCGATCAACTAGGTGCCATTGTTGGGTCGATCTGACTGATGGCTCTTCCATCTCTTGTGTATCAAATCGATCGAGAATCTCATCATCTGTTAGGTGGCCACCACTTTTCTACTTTGTGGGAGTCATAATCTACTCTCTTCTAATATGATCGTGACTCTTTCCCCACTTAATTAAACTGTCATCATCCTCCTTAATGATATATACCATGAATACAATCCACTTATTGCACATGGGATCATAACACTATGAATACGTGGGTATTGTGCGATGGGTGAGAACAGGCAATATGGGCCTACATTAAATTGAGAGTTATAATACTGCTACTTGTTGAGTTGTGATTCATCTACAACATCAGAACGTGTCATCACCATGTCAGCCAATATATTTGTTGAGGGCCACGTCATCAAATCTGACCGCTATGGTGCCATGTCATCTGCTACATCATCAAAAAGTACTATTGATTGGTCCACATGTCCACGTAATCAAGCCACGTTAAGCTTTTCCTTCCCAATCTTATTTTGGCAATAACTTCTTCATTTGAACTCCAATTTGAAAGATTTAAATTGCGTTGGATTTGTCTTTTCAAGCTCTGTGTTACGAATACTTTGAAACACTATGATCATCAATAGATTTAGTTTGTTATTATCAAAATATATGATATGATATTGCAGCTCATAAAGTCAACACAAGCCCATTTGAGGCCCATGAAAAACTCTAGAAACAAAGAGGGTCATTCACCAAGAGTGAATTAGGATATTTATACCGAAGGATATGCCATTAATATAATTAATTTTCCAAAAATTAAAAAACCTTAGAAAATAATTGGCCACCAAAGTGTCATTGACCAACCAGAAAAGCCTCTACAAACGCCACATGTCTTTGACTGCCTAATTGCACCTCAAATACCTTCGTGCTTGAGCTCGAGCAGGTCAGACGATAGTAGCGGCGCTCGTGTGAGCCATGGTCTAGACTTACCCCCATGCTATGTTTATAAGCCTACTACTAGACTACTACTTATAAACCAACATCTCAAGTGTTAAACTTACAAGTGGGACAAAAGATGGCTTTTTATATTGTCACTCCCAACAATCACCCATAGATGACAAATATAAATAGAAAAAAAAAAAGAGAGAGAAGTGAGAAAAGGATGTGTTTTGTGAGCAATGGATAGTAAATTTAAATATTAATATTTTTCAATTTGAATTAATGCACAGTGAAATAGGGCGACAACCTAAGAGTGAAAGTGAATTACCTCTTGAACTTCTAGTAATTATAGTTGAGACCCTGACAACACGTTTGAATCCTTGATTTTGATTTCGTGATAGTCATCAAGTGTTGTTAATAACCATGCACATAAAAGCTTGGGTCATTGGGAGAGCTCTAGAAAGAGACTTATCAACTCTTTCATACAAGGCGGCCTCACCTCCACTTTCACGTTATTGCTTCATCAAGTCTATCATAGATAAACCACTTAAATGTTGAGCTAGGAAGGCTTTTGAATATTATCCATCAAGTCCACATATGGATCATCCAAAAGAATGACTATAGATTCACATAATGCTTCACTATATCCATCAAGTTCATACATGGACCACCCAATAGAATACATATTGAGGACTTGAGAATTACTCTCCTTGTTTGGCCTTTGGCGAGAGGATCCGCTAAGTTCCTCTCGAATCTCACGTACTTCAAGGATATAATTCCATCTTTTAGTAACTGTTTCACAACTTCATGTCTCAGGCGTATGTGGTGTCTCTTACCATTGTACACACTATTTTTTACATTCCCTATGGCAGCCTATAAGTCACAGTGTAGGGATACAAGTACAGATTTCCCACATTATGACACGTCTCTAAGAAGACTTCTCAGTCATTCAGTCTCTTGATCTGCCAGTTCAAGTGCTATGAACTCAAATTTTATGGTGGAAAGGGTAATGCATGTCTACTTAGCTAATCTGCATGAGATAACTCTTCAGCCAAAAGTGCACACATACTCGCTAGAAGAGCTTACCTTATCATTATCTGTAACCCAATTTGTACCATAATATTCATTTAGCACAACAGAGAACTTGTTAAAATGAAACAATAATTCATTGTACCTCTAAGATACCTTAAAAGACGATATAGAGTAGTTCAATGTTCTTTACCAAAGTTATGTGTATAAGTCAGTCTACTCACAACATATGCAATATCAGGTCTAGTGTAATTCATCAAAAACATGACACTACCTATGACTTTTGCATATTTGGATTGAGATACACTATCGTACTGACTCTCTTTCAGACTCATGCTAGTGTCATAAGGTATTCTTACAGGTGATTTATCATAGTGATCGAATTTCTTTAGCATTTTCTCAATATAGTGTGATTGACATAAGGAAAACTCATTGTCCTTTTTCCTTATTTTTACACCAAGTATTATATTAGTCTCTCCTAAATCTTTCATTTCAAAGTGTGAAGACAGGAGTAATTTGGTCTCATTAATGACATCTTAGTTTGTAAAAAAAAATAATCATGTCATCAATATATAAGCATACAATCACACATTCATCTCCAAACAACTTTAAGTAAACACGTATATCAGTATAATTTACTTTACAACCATTGTTTACTAAAGTGTCGTTAAATTTTTCATATCATTGTTTAGAAGCTTGTTTTAAACCATAGAGAGATTTTTTAGGCTTGCATACTTTATTTTCTTGACTAGCAACTAGAAAACTTTCAGGCTGTGTCATATAGATCTCATCTTCTAAATCCCCATTAAGGAAGACCGTTTTTACAACCATTTGATGTATTACTAGGTCTCGTATAACAGCCAAAACTATCAGAGATCTAATTGTAGCTATTTTAGTAATAGGAGAGTACGTATCAAAGTAGTCAATACCATACTTCTTTTTGTAACTTACAACCACTAGTCTAGCCTTGTATTTTTCTATTGTACCCTCTGGTCTTATTTTCTTTTTAAAGATCCATTTGCACCTAATAGGCTTGTTTCCTATAGGTAAATTTACTAATTCCCAAGTTTGATTCATAACTATTGAGTCTAGTTTACTTTTAATAGCTTCTTTCCACAAGCAAGAAAATCTAAAGAATTTATAGGTTTTAGGATCTTCCTCTATCAGATACATACAAGCAAACTAATTATCTATCTTGTCAAAGTTTTCCACTAGGTAGGTAGTTAAGAAGTCAAGTCCGAAACTTTTCTAACCTTTTGTCTTTTACTTCTGCTACGTTCAGAATCTCGAATCAGATCAGAATCTTTCTTTCAAATTTTTGGAAAAGGACAAAATTGGAACTATAAGCAATATATTTGTTGTGTCGTGGGAAGAATTATTGCTTTGAAAGCAAAATCGGCATGATCTTGATGCTAAATCTTTCTACTGCTGGTATGCTCGCAAAGGTTAACACAACCTCCGACTTAGACATGCACTCATCAGAATAGGGTGGAATCAAACTCGTGCTCATAAACTTTAAAAGAAACTCTAAAAGGAAGCAAATGAAGATAAGGAGATGAAAGGTTTGAAGGAAGAAGTGTGGTAGGGAACTCGGATATACACCGTAGGATATGCCAATAATAGATTTGATTTTCAAAAAAATTAAAAAACCATGTATATAAGCCCACTAACAGGCTACTACTTAACACATTGCCAAATTTAGGATTAAAATTGATCTTTTCCTATTATATTTATATGTAGTTGTGTCTCCCGAAATTAAATCATGGATCCACCGCTAATAATATCTAACAAGCCACAAAAGCATCAAATAGAAGAAGTTAATGACATATTTCTTCTATCCAACATTTTATGTCAATGGACATGATTCAAACGTTGTAAATCAAGAATAAATAAACAAAACTCTCAAAGTTCGAAGTCCACATTTGCAAGATCGAAAAATATGTTATGAAATTTGCAATCTTTTTTTTTCTTTTTTAGTATAACATACGAGGATGAAGATTCAAACTTGCGATCTTTTGATTGAAAATAGGTGCCATAACAATTTGAGCCATAAAAACTATTCAAATGATAAAATACATTTGAATTATTAAAATTAAGGTCAATTTAATAATTATGAAAAATAAGGTTGGGTTAGTTTGTTATGCATTTTTTATTTTGGATTAACTGGACATAATATATAGCTTGGTAAATTTGTTGTTTTTTTTTTCTTTTTTTTAGTATTTACTCGTTGGGGCAAATCCACGTAGCGGCCAGAGGAGGCACATGTCCCCAAAAATTTAGGTTAAACTATATATTATACGATTTTGATAAAAAACGTGTGTTTAGTTTCTTGGTATTTACATGTATAAGGAAATCAATATTTTTTTTTAATTTTTGAAATAAAAATATATTTTTTAATTAAAATTTTATAATCTTTTTTTAATAAAGAACTTAGATTTTTTATCTTTGGAAATTTATATTGTAATTAAAGCATATTTCCTCTAATGAATTAAAATTCGTCCATATATAATGATATAATGACAGATATATAGTACTTCAAATCTTTCCATTCAACCAATTGCCAAAAAGGAAAAATAAAATAAGTCACAAATTGCAATATTAACAAGGAATCATGTTTGTTGGAAATCTTATAACAC